AAAAATTTTCCTCTGTTTTCTTCACCCCTTTTGAATTCTATTGTATGTTATTCATATTTCAAGTATACAATAATAATCAGCTGGACGTCACTTCAATTTTCTGTTTGTACAAACTTAAGCACTCCAGTTTTTGTGTATGCCTCTTTTTTATTTCTAATTCCCGTTTCACTAGTAGGGACAGGGACAGTGGGGACATAATAAAGAAATTATATTTCTTATTCAATTAGTATGTATACCTTAGGGCTTTTATAAGACATAAAGAATCATGAACTAGAAACTAGAAAACAATCAAAACAGAATATTTCCTCCAACAATTCAGCAGTGATTTCCAGCACATCTTTTTTAGATGAAGAAAAAATGCACATAAGTGAAAGACTTAAGTAGTCAATGTATGTGCCTAATATTTACTTTTAGGGTTCATCTCTATTTGACATCTTTTACTTCCTAGATTTCTTTGAGATCTAGCTTAAAACACTATTGGATGGTTTATGGGTTATATTACATGTATTATGGCTGTGGTTTGTTTAAGGTTAGGGTTTAGGATGCAGTGTTCTCTGTTGCATCAAGACAAGCCAAAAACGGAGAATTATATGCAATGTTGGTGTATATAATAGGAAAATTCAGTTGTTATGAAAATTGTTTATGGTTCTTCCCTTACTCTGTTATTAGAAAGTTGCAACTTTTCACGGCTTGCTCTAGTTATGCCTTTAGGTTTACAATTGATTCCTATCATGGTATTCAACAATAATGATTATGAATTTTTTTGGTTTCATTCATTATCTTATGAATAATGATAATAAAGGTTTTACTAGCAATTACTATTAAGGTGATATCATGGAAATATTTCCATGTTAACTGCAAAAGTTGACAGATAGTTTGATGGCACTGAATGCATTTAATGATGATATTTATTAAGTTAGTAACCTTGGAAATTGTCATTAAAGTGCTCTTGAGGAAAACACTGAAATAACAAAAAAGAGGAAACACTATGGGTTTGGCCGGCTAATGGTGCTAATAATCCTTTTATTCATGCTTTCCTCGCCATTCATCTTTCTTTTTTGTGCGACGGTGAAAATTGCATCCATGATTTGTCTAGGTCTTTTTCTTAGTATGGAATCTATTAGTGCTTTGTATTTATTACACTCTGTATGAATCTGTTTACTCCTCTTAATTTGTAGATGAACTGCAAATGTATCAACCAAAGAATGTTCCAGGTTCAAGTTTAGTTCGTAGCAACTCATTAGTTCATGGTCAACATTTAGATTGTGGTGCTAGCTCAATGGACCCAGTAAGTGGAGGAAGCAGCCTCGCCAACAACCCAAATCTTGCATCAAAGCAGCGATTACGCTGGACACATGAGCTTCATGACCGTTTTGTTGATGCTGTAGCTCAACTTGGTGGGCCAGATAGTGAGTCTTGTCAATGGTCTCCCTTGCTATACATTAATTCTTATCCTGAATTTGTATGTGCTTGCAGTTGACTAGATTGGCCATTGAATTGAAAAAAAAAGTGCGGAAGGTTGGAAATTATGCTGCCTATATTTTGGTGCAAGATTGTAGTAAGAATTTTTTAGAAAGAAGTAAAAGCAATTTGCTAACTTTGTGGAAAGATAAATGGTTAAAAGGGGTTTCATATCTTGAGCATCTCTCTTTCATCAAGTCTCTTGTTTGTCAAGAATTATCTATAAAATAATTTCTTGCTAAATTGTGCGAGAAACCATTAGGTACCATGGTGGCTTTAATTTTTATATGGACTTGTTTATGTTTATGCAGAAATTTTAATTACCATAAAATTTTCCTGTTTATATATGGTAAAGGTCTAAATGGTGAACGGGTTTCTTTCTTTTTACCCTCTCAGGAGCTACACCAAAAGGAGTTCTTAGGGTCATGGGTGTGCAGGGTTTGACAATATACCATGTCAAAAGTCATTTACAGGTATAATTCTTTTTTCAACCTAATGAAGAACGATACTTATTTATGTACATGTGTTCAGAGTTGCCCCAGGAACTGAGGATTTTGTTGAATAGTTCATTTATTATATATGACTTTTCTTGACCTTACTTTTCTGATCCATCCAGAAATATCGGCTTGCTAAATATCTCCCTGATTCTTCTTCTGATGGTAGGTTTATAACCTATTCTTTTTATTTTTAATGTATATGTAAACTGATGTTGTTTAAATTGTTGTTGCCGTTAAGTTTATTCTTCATACTTAATTATAACTTGAGTTGTTTTGTACAAAACCTTTCTTCTTGATATTGTTTGTTTATTCTATTTGTGAATGAAGGTAAAAAGCCTGACAAAAAAGAAACTGGGGATATGCTTTCCAATTTGGATGGTTCATCGTGAGTGAAGCTGTAGCCTTTTCGGTTTGATTTTTGTTTTGAAAATTTTCCTTTTCATATATATTCACCTATTGTAGTTTTGGAGTTGGGTATGCAAAGCATTCCCATCTAGATATGTGTTGCAGGTATTTAGTTAGATATTGGCTGTCAGCTTGGTACCTCAATTCTTGCTTGTTTTATAGAGTTTAAGAAGTAGGGGCCAGGTTACATGTTATCACCACTTGTTACTATTCCTTGTGTCAAGAATCAATATGGATATTTCAATTATTTCCTTTTTTGTGCCACAACGGATAAAACTCATTATTGTACATATGAGGAAGGACTGTGCTCTTTAGATGACTAAAATATCTTTTCATCTACATAGGCTCATCAACATGAGTTGCATAGAGTTGAAGGTTTTTTTCCCCTGATTGCAGGGGCATGCAAATTACTGAAGCTCTGAAGTTGCAGATGGAGGTGCAGAAGCGCTTGCATGAACAATTGGAGGCGTGTATTCTCAATCCAAATTTAATATATTATTTTTGTTTATTATGTTTATTGGGCTCTTCTTGCTCTTCTGAGTTTCATGGTGTTGGGTGTAAGCTACGTTCAGATAATATTTTTCTCTGTATTCATTATAAACCTGGAGCAATTTGCTAAATTTCTGTGCACATATTAGACACATGCTTTAAGTTTTAGGTGTTTCATTTGTTTTCTCAAATCACAGATTTCATACCTCTGATTCACAACAGGTGCAGAGACAGCTACAGTTACGGATAGAGGCGCAAGGAAAGTATTTAAAGAAGATTATTGAAGAGCAGCGTCTTAGTGGAGTCCTTGGAGATGCACCTGGCTCAGGAGCTTCAATCCCAGGGTTGGGTGACAGTGGCCTGGAATCTGACAAGAAGACTGACCCTGCAACTCCAGCCCCCACTTCAGAATCCCCTTTGCAGGATAAGGTTGCCAAAGGAGGAGCTTCTGCCAAGAGCCACTCTGTTGACGAGTCTTTCTCATCTCATCATGAGCCTTTGACCCCAGATTCTGGTTGCCATGTGGGTTCCCCAACAGGGAGTCCTAAGGGAGAGAGGTTGAAGAAGAAGCAACGGGTGAGCATGACTGCAGCATATGCTAAACCAGAGATGGTACTTCCCCACCGGATACTAGATTCGAGCTTAAATGCTTCCTACCAACAAACGCAGTCAGTTTTCATGGGAGAGCAATTTGATCCTTCATCTGGGATATCGATGAGAAATGACAATCAATCCAGGTAGGCTTCATGGTAAATGTTATCAGTTTCATGTTGGCCATGTATTTGCCAGATGGATTTCTGATTAGGTCAAAAAGAAAAACTTCTTAATGTCTGTTGTATGAGATAATTAGACGGAAGCAAATCGGTCCCTTTGTCCTAATATACCTAGCTTCCATATAGTGTACTGGAATTAATTAGAATAGAAATGAGAATTCACCGTGAACGGTGGTGGAAATTTGGCAGTGCCATGTCCCTGATACTGTGATTGTTGTGTATCTTGGTTGAAGGTATTGGTACTTTGGTGGCTTGAATTGGTTCTTGTGAATTACCACTATTACTGTTTTTGGTTTTAATACTCCGATTAATTTATGAAAACTTAGTAATTTGAGTTTGCGCCAAGTTTGAAAAGGGGTTTTGATATTCTTTTTTGGGGGCAAAACTTGTCAATTGAATTATTGCAAATATATCTTTATGGGTTATAAATATTACATTTCTATCATATAAATTATTTGATATGCTTTTAAAAATTAAAGATTGTTTTGATTCTACTGATTCAAATTTAGACATATTCTTATTATAAATGTAATGTTATAATTTTAAATTAGATTTAATTTTTTTTAAAAAAGTTCTTTTAATAGAAATTTTTAAATAGAAGCTAGATACACAGATCATATCTCTTAGTAAAGAAAATAATTTTATTATTTGATAATTAAAATTATTAGATTTCAAAAATTATAAATTTTAATACTAAAAATTAAAAATTAATTATGATGTGTCAGAGGTTCGAATCCTGATGATTATATATGGAACAAACTAAGTTAGGAGGATCGCCCTTATAATAATAAATTTATGTGAAACAAGATCTAGATTAGTCTATCAATAGATTAGATGCATTGATTGATTAAAAGAAAATATGATGTGTTGAAACTAAAAATTAAATATAATGTTTTCGATTAGATGATCTCACAAAGAGATATTGTTCACACTTCAGAGGGATTTCTTGTAAAAGGATTTACGGAATTAAAGTGTAATTTGCTTATTTTTTTTAAATAAATAAATAAATAAATAAATATATATATATATATATTGAATTGAAAAGGTCTTAACAAACTAAGCTAACAAAGTAAAACACAATATTTTTTGATTGATCATAAACTATATTATTTTAATTTTATTTTATTTTACCCAACTAAATACATAAAAGTAAAAAAAATATCTTTTCGTAAGATATTTTACCAACAAACACGTTAATTATTAGATTAAAGTTTTAAAGTTGGAGGACAAAATAATAATAATAAATTTATGATATATATATATATATATATATATATATATATATATATATATATATATTCATCCTACGAACAAATCTCTCTTTTTTCATTTATCCATTTCATTTTAGGCGTTTAAAATTTGATTTCATCCGCCAGATACGGCACTGCCATCAAATCGAAGTTAAAGCAAGTCCACCAATCGACCACAATTCGCAGAAAGTGAAAAACTCCCGACGCCATGTCCAGCTCCGATCCTAACAAGCTCATCTCCAAAGCCGACAAGCTGTATGCCTTCTCTCTTTCACTCTACAGAGCTCTTACTTGTCTATTTCTTCGGAGATTATGTTGTAATTTAGCTTAAGATTCTTAGATTTGAACCTTTCGATTTTTTTTGATATGCGATCTCCCACCTGTACTGTTAAAGGATCAAATTGATTTGATGTAGATAAGGGAAAATTTGGAAAACTGAATTAATCAGCATCCAGCAACTTGAATTGATCAATACTTCCTACTGTTTTACTCTGTTTATATTTGTAGAACAAAGCTAAGTCTTACGAGGTGGAGTGCTGATTGGAAAAGTGCTACTCTTTTATACGAACAAGCTGGTATGCTATCTACTTTTTATTCAACCTCCAGGATTCTTATTTAAAATATTCAGTCCATGGTTTAATGAAATTTCTACAACAAAATGTATTATGTAAATTGTTTCTGCCATTTTTGGAATGGGTCAGATCTGAAGGCAGACTGGGTACTCTCGGAATCTGCAAGATGAAAATGAACTAAGAGGCGCCAGAGCTTGAGCTCCGTGACGCTCTCCAATGCTCAAGTCTGTCAAGGATCCATGGTTATGGAGATTGTAGAAAATATTAGCTTAGTAGAGAAGACGAATAAGATAGAGGCTAGGGTATCCAAAAGATAAAGATGAGACTCCCTTTTAGGGTTTTAATACCTTTCATTTATGCTTGGCCTTGGACTTGTGTATTACTGGGCCTTTTAGTTGCTAATTAGTTGGTCTGGTCATGATATTTATGCTATGATTATGATGACTTTTTCATTTTGCTCATGATGTATGTAGCAAACGGATTTCGAGTTTCAAGAGATTATGAGAAAGCAAAGTTGGCATTTGAGAAAGCTTCCAAGGGACAAGAGATGCTATCTTCGTATCCTTAATCACTTTCCTTCACTTTTTTATTATCCATTTTGTATGCTATGCTTACTTCTTCATATGTAGTGTGTATATACTTACTTCAACTTGTTAAGTTTGAATCTTGAGACAGGGATGGGAAAATAGAGGGTTTCTGTTCTCTTTTGTATTGAAAGCCCTAGTGAATCTACATATGTACCAAAAAAGAAAAGGAAAATATATCTCCATTGTTGCTTCCTTTATAAGCAAATCAGTCCCTGGGATGCTGCTAAACATATGGAGTCTGCTGCTGCTTTAGCGAAGGAACTACTTAACTGGACTGAGGTCATTGACTTTTATAGAAGGGCATCTGAGCAATATATGCAGTGTGACAGACCACAACCTGCGTCTGATTCACTTGCCAAGGCTGCCCGGTACAGACATTGTTTAAACTTTATGTTGTCAGAATTATGATTTTACATCATTTCAACTATACTAATCTCCAGTTCAGATTTTTCAATTACGGCTAGTACTTTAGGTGGAACTGAACAGAACATTTCCATCAAAGATATACTTGCTCTGTTAAGTTCTTTTTATTTTTTTGCTTGATCTTATATGGTCGACAGAAGTCAATTTCTATGAACCAAAAAGGAGAAAAAAATGAAATCAATTTCTTAAAGCATTTCAATTCCATTATAGTTTCTTTTTAGTTCTGCATTATCAATCTGTGAATGTGCTATTTGACTTAAATTGGCTTTCAAACATTGTAATTTACATTATGCAAGAAAATATCATGAAAAACACTTATATCTTTATATTTTAATGAAGTTTGAAGAAGAGCCCAAATGTTGTGGATGTGGAATTTTCTGTATTTTCAAATCCAGAGATTCCGGTTTCACTCATTATTATTTCCACTTCCAAGCTTGTAAAACCTTGTCTTTATTGTTAGGATGCAGAGAGGGAATGGATATACGTGTTTATGGAATTATTATTGATAACTTGAAGAAGATCAATTCACTATATCAATATGCATTCAAATGAATATTTGTTCAGGTTTTCCTGGGTTTTTTTTTGGGTATTGTACTTGCATTTTTTCCTAGTGCTTTTCTGCATAATATTTGTCAATATACTGGTGTAATCTATAATCAATTCAAGAAACCTTCAAAAGAAAAAAGAAAATGCTCTTTGTTTTGCATGCAATAATCCAGTTCTTACAACATCACCAACTGTTTCACAACTGCAATCTCATTTTTAACCTCTTATTACTTGTTCTGGTAGTGCTTTGGAGGATGCTTTGCCCGATGATGCTGTTCAACTCTATACTGATGCTTGTGTTATTCTCGAAGATGATGGAAAGGAACAAATGGCCTTTGATCTGTATCGTGCTGCCGCTAGTGTTTATGTTAAACTTGAGAAGTAAGGATTTGCTTCTTAATCTGTTGAGATATAATATATAAATCCTCATTCCTAGGATTGCGAAATGGAAGTTATACACCCTTGTACATCATATGGTGTAATACATTCTTAAAATTAGAATATTTTTGCCTTTCCTTAAAATGAAAGGGAAGAAAAAAAAAACTGGGCACTAGTTTTTGTTTTTACTAGAATATGATCTTTAATTTGTAGATAAATAAAGCCCTCATGTTGCTAAATGATTTCAAATGCATCTAGTGTCTTTTTCCTTATGTCTGGAACTATGGAGTTTGGGCTAGTAGACTAAATATGATCTTTAATTTGTAGATAAATAAAGCCCTTATGTTGCTAAATGATTTCAAATGCATCTAGTGTCTTTTTCCTTATGTCTGGAACTATGGAGTTTGGGCTAGTAGACTATCTTTTTTCAAGCCAATTTTTGTCTCTGTTTAATTGCACATGATCTTTAATTCATAGTTAAATAACTTCATTTTGCTAAAGGATTTCAAATGCATTTATGTGTCTTTTTAACTTATGTCTGGAACTATGGAGTTTGGGTTGAGTAGACTGGAGCATGTGAATTGTGATTCTTTTTAAGCCAATTTTCATCTTTGTTTAATTGCACATTCAGTACTTTTTTCTTCTGTTTGTCAAGCTACATGTTGACTGCTGACAGCATCCACTTATCTATGACTGGATGTGATTGACGTCAAATGTGTTGGAATGCCTATAAATTTAGAGAACCTGTTCTTAGGCAACTACATTATTTGCATATGTAAGCAAACCTTGCATGAGACATTATTTATGGTTTTTTTTTATCCTCAGGTACACAGATGCTGCTACTTTCCTTTTGAGGTTGGGCTTAGCAGCTGACAAGTGTAATGCTAGAAATAGCCAGTGCAAGGTGCGACTTTATTTTGTAGCCAAATTATTTATCTTATTATCATACATCATTTTCATTTACCATCCCATTCTCCTTGTTTTATATATCAGATGATATTATTTTCCTGAGAAATATGATGCGCCTTTTTTCTCTCTAAATCCATGTATGCTTTTAGAAGTTGCTGTGCTGCTTTATGACTTAATTAACTTGCAGTTTAGTTCCGATACACATTTTTTTGGTACTTATATGCAGAAAATTTTATGAGTGGTGGTAGGAGATAATATTTTTCTTTTTCTGCAAGGATGAAAGTAGGATTTAGTCAAAGTGGCTAAAGTCGTCCATAGAATTTTTTAGAACTAATATTGAAACCATTTAAAATATGCCTTATTTGTCAAATCAAATGCCTATATTTGGCTGGGTATGCAGAACAAGAAAATGCTCTCCAAATAAAATTTCCCATTAAGTTTTGGTTGATCCTAGAAGACGTGACGTGATACCTATTTCCCGGTATTAACCGACTTTTTTTTTTATCAAACTGACTTTTTAATAAGATTTTAAGTATTGTAATACCTACATCCTAGGCAAGATTATTAGCTAATATAGTGGTTCCTACTTCAGTTAAGTGGTATGTAGTGCACTTTGCATAGTTCTACTTAAATTTACCCTTCCCTTATTAACTTCTGGGTTACCTTTTTATGCACTGTCTCAACAAGTATACCTTTGTATATGTGGGATAAAAACTTAATCCTGAGGGATTATTGGTCCATTACCAAGTGATTTGATAAATATCACCTTGTGTAATCATCTGGTGGCTATTGTTCTTTTTGCTTGTTTGGCATTGACATTTTCTTCTTTTATTTATTTATTGAAATGAAATTTTGTTGGTAACAATATGCTAACATATATATATCTGTAATTTCAGGCATATCTTAGTGCAATTATTGTGTATCTTTATGCTCATGACTTACAGCAAGCAGAAAAGTGCTACAATGACTGTTCACAGTAAGTGCAGTTCTCCTCTCTCAGCTACCTTTCGAACCAATATGTATTGAAGTATATTTAGTACTTGAGGATGTGGTTTTTGGCTCTCAACTAGTTGATCTTGTTAGCGCACAAGTGATTCTCTAGCTACTGAAAACAACTTTCCATAATATCTTCATTCTTGAACGCCTACATAAAATTAAATTAAAGGCATTTTAGTTATTTCCTATGTGTTTTTTTTAAATGTATCTCCTCTATATGTCTATCAAATGCATCTAATCACTAGCATCTATTCCCTACCCAACAATCTTGCTGTATTTTATAAATTGTTTTTTCCTTCTATTTTGTGTGTGTGTGTGTGTTTTTTGGGGCGGGAGGGGTCAAATAGTTCTTTCCTTTCCCCTGAAAAGTGGAACTCATTAGCAAAATGCTTTACTCTGATGACTTCGGAAACTTGTGTTTACTGTTACCAAATTATGTTGGTGCAGATTCTCTCTCGGCCCCCTCTGCATGGGTTTTGTTGAGCATTATTTTTTCGTGTATAGTTGAAGTAAAGCAATAGAATGATAATAGTTTAACTTACGCTACTGTAATCAGATATCAACTCACAACAATTATTTCTTCTCTTTCTTATGATCATATATTTCTACCCATTTTGATGTTTGTTTTTTAATGCAGAATGTTGTCTCCCTTGCCATATAAGGGAAAACCAGTTACATATTCCTTGAGAATAATTCCATAGCGGAAAGCATCTTGAAATTAAATATACTGTCTATGATTTTTTTCTCATATATCTTTATACCGAAAAGTAATGACGTGTGTGTAGAGAAAAGTGATCTAAACTACTATTTTTTTTTTATAAGATTTGAAGGTCTCTTTAAAAACCTCCTTGATTAATGGAGCTTGTAAAGAAGCTTCTTAATCATCGGAAGGAGGAAAAGAGTGCCTTATAATTTCATTGAAGAAAATAAGAATTACAACCTTGGAAAGAAAAATCCAAGTAGAACCCTTACAACAATTCTTGAGCCTTAAAACCGAACTATAGAAGTCAACAACATAATAATCAACCTATACCAGCCTTTGCTAGAGCATCGGCATCCATATTAGCTGTCCTTGCAATCCATCTAACAACCCCCCCGATAGTTTTAAGACACTCAATAATATCTCTAACAATGAAACCATAAACAGCTGGACATGAGACAACCTTATTGATCCAGTCTGCTGCAACTCTGCTATCACTCTCTATGATCAACCTATCTTTAACCCTCCCTAGAACAGAGGTAAAGAAAGAGATACCCCTTTGGATAGCTTTAAGTTCCTTCAATGTTGGAGGTCCAGAACCATCCGGTTCCTGAAAAGAACCAAGGATTGCACCAGAATGATCCCTCATAAGACCACCCAGACCTGATTTTTCCCAATCACAACTAATTGCTGCATCCACATTCAACTTGATGAAACCCGTAGGGGGAGGTAACCAAGGGGTTATGGAAGACTTCAAGAAATTGTAGGACGAGTAAGAATCCCCTATAGAAGGATCAGAGATTAAGGAGTCCTTAGGAATAGAAACGTCCTTATTCTTTGCTAAATACCAAGAGGCCAGCCTAACTCTTGTTAAGAAGAATAATTCAGTCTGATCAAGCTTCCCCCCTTCAAAAACTATGTAATTCCTGAATTTTCAGATTGTCCAAATAACAGCCCCAGGAATGAAAGTCCAAATTACCGAATTAGATTTCAACTCATCCCAAGCAAGAAGAAATTTTTTTGCTTCTGCAGAAAACACAGAACTAAATCTCCAAAAATTTAGAAATTTATTCCACAAAGACCACGCAACCGAACAGGAGAAGAATAGATGCGAAGAAGATTCTTCAACCATTTTACAAAGAGGGCATAAGCCATCCTCAATACCTTGAACTCCTCTTTTAACCAATTCGGATTTAACTGCAATTTTTTGAAGCACAATTTGCCAAACTAATGTTTCAACTCTAGGGGGAACCAATCCTCTCCAAACAATCTTGTTCCAGAAATGAGACTCTTCTGAAATTGAAGCACAACTCTTAACACAAGAACCGACTGTATAAACCCCATCCCCACTGCCTTTCCAGATCAATCCATCGCTAGAATCAATAGATAGAGAGAAAGAAGAAATGATGCTCACCAAATTGCACCATTGTTCAAGCTCCCAATCGTTTAAATTTCTTCGAACTTTAACATCCCAAATCCAGCCCGAAGAAAGAAATTCCCCAAACTCACAAAGTTTACCGAATTTATTAGTTGACAGTGAAAACAGTCTAGGAAATAGAATCTGAAACGGAAAATCAGCAGCCCAGCTATCTTGCCAAAATCGAACATGCTTACCATTTCCGACATAAACTTGCACAAACTACGGAACTTACAACCAAAAGAGTCTTGTTTGAAATGGTTATTAACCACTGATCTCCACAACCAGGAGGATTGAGAAGGAATCTTGCTGTCAAACAATAATCTAGAAGAGTCAATGTTGTATTTGCTACAAATAAAATTCCTCCAAACAGAATTTCTCTCATTTGCAAACCTCCAAGACCATTTCCCTATCAATGCTCTGTTCATAGAAATCAGATTCCGAACTCCCAAGCCTCCCTCAGTCTTTGATTTGCAGACATCATCCCATTTAACCCAGTGTATCTTCTTAATACCATTGCCCCCTCCCCATAAAAAATTAGACATAATAGAATTGAGAGTCTTGAGGATAGAAGCTGGAATCTTGAAGATAGACAAAAAATACGTAGGTAGTGAGGACAGAACGGATTTGATCAAAACCAGTCTCCCTGCTAAAGAAAGAGTAGAAGCCTTCCAACCTACTAATTTAGAGTGAAAATTCTGTACCACTGGTTCCCAGATAACAGAGGAATTCCTAGTAGCACCTAGAGGGAGGCCTAGATAATTAGATGGGAAGTTTCCCACCAAACAACCGATAGAATCTGCCCAAGTTTTAACCTCCTGTTGGGATATATTAATCCCGAAGAGTCTGCTTTTCTTAAGGTTTAGTTGCAGCCCTGACATAACCTCAAATATTCTAAGCACCCTCTTCACATTCATAATTTGAGTCTTCGAAGCTCCACAGAAAATAATTAAGTCATCCGCAAACTGCAAGTGTGAAAGATTAAAAGACCCCTCTTCCTTGCCAACTGTCAAACCAGCAAATAAACCCTCCGAAACAGTTCTTCGGATTAAAAGATTCAATAATTCCTCCACTAGGTTAAAAAGTAAAGGCGAGAGTGAACATCCCTGTCTAAGGCCCTTGACCATTGGAAACTCCTCGGATGGAACCCCATTAACTAACACTGAGATTGAAGCTGTAGAAACACATCTCCTAATCCAACTTATCCATGTGAAACCGAAACCCATTTTTTCCATCACCTTGAACAAGATAGGCCAGTCAACCGTATCGTATGCCTTTTTGAAATCAACTTTAAACACACAACCCTTTAGCCCTTTCTTCCTCCAATAATCAATACCCTCGTTAGCAATGAGTGAGCAGTCCAAAATTTGTCGACCGGGAATAAAAGCGAATTGAGTCGGGCTTATAAGATCTCCTATACAACTTCTAAGCCTCCTTGAAAGACACTTGGATAATATCTTATACACTCCTCTTACTAGGCTTATAGGTCTATAATCATCAAGACTTCCAATGTTAGATTCCTTAGGAATAAGGGTAATAAAAGTATGGTTAATACCATGTTCCCATTCTTTCCCCACAAAAAATCTGTGAAAAAACTGCATAATATTCCCCTTAAGAACAGACCAAAACCTTTTAAAAAAACCCAAGTTCAATCCGTCGGGCCCCGGAGCTTTATTGCTATCACAAGACTTTAGAGTTTCCCAAACCTCCTCCTCGGAAAACTCATTCTCTAAAAGCATATTCTGTTCGAAAGAAATTCTGGGAAAAACCAAACCAATATCTTCAACTTCTAAAGTAGACCGATCATTATAAATTTTGAAAAAATGATCTTTGACCTTGGCCTTGATAACAGTTGGATCGTGAGTAGTATTCCCATCAACAATTAAAGCATTAAGAGCATTTCGTTTCCTCCTAACTGAAGCACAAGTATGAAAGAATCTTGTGTTTCGGTCCCCATCATTAAGCCACTTCTTCCTAGAATTTTGAAGCCAAATCTGCTCCTCAATTCTGTGAAGTCTCCATAACTCTGCTCTACAAACACTAAGCTCTTTAGCAATCCCCTGAACAGAGCTGTTATTCAGCTGCTGGGCGTCCTCCTCAAGCTTCTGAATTTTCTTTTCCAAATCTGATATTGCTACTCCCGGAAATTGATTCTTCTTCCCTGACCATTTCTTGATGGCAGCTTTAGAGTTCTTCAAAATACTTAAGATCCCACCTTTTCTCCCAGTCTTCTTACAGTCTGTGATAGAATGTCTGACCATATCCTCAAAGCCGTCTTCCTCCATCAGATAATTAAAGAGTCTAAACGGTCTTTTCCCCCAATCAATACCTTCATCTTTCAATAAAATAGCATTGTGATCTGAAATGGATTTAGGAATAAGAGACTGAGAAATCTCAGGAAAAGTAGCTAAAAATTGACCATCCACTAAGAATCTGTCCAATCTAACAAAAGTTGGATCATCTTGGTTATTACACCAAGTGAACCTTCCCCCATTCAAAGGCAGATTAATTAAACCTAAAGACTGAATAAACTGAGAGAAAATCCTCATAGAGAACCTATTCTGTGCTTTACCCACCTTCTCATCTTCACACAAGTAAACATTAAAATCTCCTCCAACACAAACCGGCAGATTCTGTCCAGAAATGAACACACTGAGTTCTTCAAAAAACTCTCTTTTTCTTCCTCCACTGAAGGCCCATAAACATTAATGAGGACACTTCTGAATTGATGCAACCTGAATTTCCCTACAACAGCAATGAATCTTCTGTTAATGCAGTGATTTTCCATCTCAAACACATTGTCATCCCAACAACATAATAAGCCCCCTGAAGAACCAATAGCTGGAGATTCAATAACACTCTGAAGAGTATTCAGTCCATTCCTTCTCAGAAAAGACCTTTGAACCTTCTCTACTTTAGTTTCTTGTAACCAAAGAAAAGAAGGATATGAGCTAGAGACCAATCTCTGGACTGCTTTCTGTTTTTCTCTTTTCCCCAAGCCCCTAACATTCCATGAAATTATTGCTAATTTGTCTTTCATTAAAATTTCTTGAAAACCTGACTTCCCCACTATGGCAACTCAACTGGCCAAATTCAAGCCCTATTCTAATTTAATTATTTTGTCCAGAAAAGCTTCCTTCCCCTTAGTAAAAGAGACCCCCAAAATCTGACTCACTTGCCATGTGGCTACTGCTTCATCTAAAAGCTCTGAGAATTCTGTAGAAGAGGATGTAAAAATATTAACATGTTCTAGAGCTTCTCTTACCAATGATCTTCTTGCCCTTCTTTTGCAAAATCCTGATTTGGAATTAATCAAATGACTGTCCGTAACACAACCCTCTGGCTCTCCATCGAGACTACTAATCCCAGCTTTCTCTACTAAATTTGTCTCCTCTCTGCCTGGAGAATTAAGCTCTGCTGCTGTAGAAATCTTTTGTATTGGCGTGCAGACCTGATCACAAACTTTCTTTTGAACTGGAACAACCTCTGTAACATTAATTTCCTTATGAATCTCCCCATGCCAATGTTTTCTCTCCCTCCTTCTATAAACTTTGCTGTAACTGGCCATTCTCCTTCTCTGTAGAGGCTCACTTTTTGTGGATAGCGAGCTTCTATGCACCACCATCGCTTTATTTCTTAACTGGCTCTTCAAACAATTCGAGTTAGGAACTATCAGTGAAAAATTAGGATCAAGAACCTCAATATCTACACTGGCAGACGTAGCTGAAATGCAACTGGTCCCTTTATTCTTGTTTTTAACACTCTAGCCTCTATAATTCCCCTGTTTTTAACCAGTTTACTAAACTTGTTAATTGTATATCCTGGCCCAGAAGGAAAAAACTTTGAAGCCTCCGATCCAGTCAGCTCATTGTCAACAGATAGGGCCTCCGGCCCATTAGCCGAAATATTTGAATTTCTGATGCCCAAACCTGCAAACTCACCTACTATGGTATTCCCACCATTCCGAACACCTGACAACCCTCTTTTAATGCCTTTCCCATGTTTAGAAAGTCTTGGAAAGTGCATTTCCCCATCAGACTGTGCTGTGCCGAAAGAAACACCATCATCATTCCACAAGTCAACCTTCTGTCTGAACATCTCTGCTGATTTGACTGAACTTTCCTCATATTCTGACTTCTCCCTGACTCTACCTTCCTCAGACCCCAACTCGCCATACTGTTTCCCATCTGCACCGATCACCGGAAAAAATTTGAAAAAAGGATTTGCATCTTCCCAGCCCGCTCCAACTTTGATCTTAATCCGATACGATCTGCCATAGGATCCAAAATTAGTGAATTCTGGAACATCGAAAGGACTTGCAACTCGCAAAAGAATCCTCACAAACGAGAGATCCTCCCTGTTCTTAGTGGACTCATGGATTTCTACCATACTTCCCCATCTTCCAGCAGCTCGTTCCAAGAAGGATTCATCCCAACATAACAGAGGAACCCCACTTAACTCAAGCTGACAATAAGCCATTGGAACACCTTCTTCATTCAGTAAAGGTGCTAATCTATCAAAACAAAAGTTTATTACATCTCTCTTCTTTGTCCATGCCTCCATCATTTCTTCGAGAGATTTGAAAATGATAACACAGGAATTACCGACATAACCCCAACCAACAATCTGAACTTCGTAACCATTAGTAATGAAGAACTCTTGAACTGACTTAATATCTAAAGAGAGCTTAAAAATCCCTGTTAAAGATCTTTTGACCCAGTTCCGATTCTCAGAGGGAATATGCATTTCCATAACATTCTTCAATGCTTTCTCCCTTTGATTCCCAACAGAATGTGTCTCCCTATACCCCAAAGTATTGTTCCTCATATCCTCAGTCAGTAAAGCCTCTTTGTACGATCTGTCATCCCTAACACTCCTACTGGAAAAATCAGCCTCTTTCAACTTTGAAGGACCTGCTGTAAACGAAACTGGACCCAACTGAACTGGACTATTCTTGGCCACATTCCTTGGACGAACTTCATTGTATTTTGCAACACCAACTGAAATCCTTCTCCCATCTATCAGTGAATCATTTAACATATCAATTGCTCTCCTCAAACCAGATTCCCTCTCAAACTGAACAAAAGCAAAAGTGGAAAATCTATATTTTGGGTTTTTAGTTTCTTTCGGGATGAAAACTCTCTCCACAGTTCCCTGAGACGAAAAAATATCTCTAAGCTCATGCCGAGAAACTCTCCTACTTAGATTATCGACAAAAGCCTTCCAGACCTCGCCTGAACCTATTTTCCCTTTCAACTTTTCTCTCTCTCTCTCTACTTTTCTCTCTCCCATTCTCTCTCCTTAATCTAAACTACTATTGTGTGGGATATTTTCAGAATTGATGCTTTCTTGAGCAGTGATCAGAACCGCTGTGCTAGTAAACTTCTTTCTGCTTATAGAGAAGGCGATGTAGAAGAAATTAAACGTGTGGCTCAATCAAGTACTATTTCCAATCTTGAAAATGTGGTATGTCTTTTTTACCATTTGCACCTTTGTTTTTGGAAATAAATGCTCTGCATGATAGAACTTACAATGCAACCATGGCAGGTTCTAATTGGCCAATAACTGTGCAGTTTTATGTGATACGTGACTTATAGGATCTTCTAGAGAACTAATATGGGAATTAGGGAATTAAAAATTGACACACATGTCCATCCGCAACTGGGCCAAAGTAGATTAGTACATGCATTCTGAATCTCTAATAACCAAGCTAAAAACTGAGATCGTAAAAGTTGACCATTGCAAAGAAAATATTATTGAAGTTAGAAGATTTTCTCTTTGGTTATAAACTTTCATTTGAGTTTCTTCTTCCCCTGAAAAGAAGGCTAAATGGAGCATATTCCTATTTTTTGGTGTTTCTATTTTGTCCTTGTACTCTAGTTGATTTCTTTTGACATTTTCCTGGACTTTTTTATATTATATTATATTATATAACCAAAAAAAATACATTTTCTGCAATGGGGAAAGGATTACTGGGGTTCACAGAGATGTAGCGTGTCCAAGCTATATTCCCATTTTCTAATTTACGCCTCTTCCCTTTGCTTACCATTCTGAATAAGGGAGAAGGCATTAAAGTGGTTATTGGAGGGGACTCGGAATTGAGCTCTGTTTTATTCATCAAACCACACCTTAATCTTTGAAAATCTTGGTTGTGTTCAAGCTGTATTCCCATTTTCTAATATCGGTCTATATTTCATGTTAAGATAGACAATGGTTAAGGGCTTGCGATGTTATTCATTCAATTGCAGACAATTTGAATGAAATAAAACTGTGTGCAGATCATAAAGCTTGCAAGGAAGTTGCCTACTGGTGACCTGGCTGACATACAGGGAGATGCTGATAAAGGTGGGGAAGAAGCCCTTGATGAAAATGACCTGACATGAGTTTCACCTTTCAAGGAATTGTCTCGTTGTCTGTCGCATGTTCATGTAAGTACATAGACATAAAAACATGTTTGGTTTTAAGTTTGCTTAATTCGTGTATGTTTATGCCTACTTAATGTTAAACTGTTGCTTGTTTTATACGAATTGGGCGATTGCCCGTATTGGAACTTTTCTTCTATCTCCCTGTCGGCCATTAATTTTCATATATTGCTTTATGAATGATCTAATTATTAATTCTATCTACCATGACTGACAAGTTAGACTCACTGGATGATACTGTTAATTTTATTGTTAAATCATTGTTATGAAAATTAGTGGAGTAATAAAAATAAGTAGTTCAACAAATTATATACAAGTTAGTAAATATAATGGTTTAAATGTATATGTTTATCAAAATGGAGATTTATTTTTCAGTTTTCATAAAATATGATGATTGAGTTCTAACAAATCTTCGGAAAAAAATGATACCATAATTTAATTTTGAAGTTACAGGTTTTCTTGTAAAGTTATTATAACCTTTAGCAAGACGACGAGGCATTGGCATGTTCTTAAGAAGTAACAAAAAGTTGTAGCTTAAATTTTTTTAGTAAGATTCCCGCTTTCAATCTTTATTTTAGTTAAATCAATATTTTTAAGAACACATAAATTGTTTGGATTGAAGAGGTGATGGTGGCGAGGGTTGTGATAATGATCAAATTGATAGAATTTTTAAATATTAAGGATTTATTGAATTATTTTTGAATTAAAACTGGTTTAATAGAGTGCGTAAGTTTTGGGGGCTAAAATTGTTATTATACAATGTCACCACACTATTTTTGAAACGAAACATAATGTTAGATATGATTTTGAAAAAGATAATTGAGTTACCAAAAACGGAAATGTGATAATAGGTGAGTTATTAAATAAATAGTTTACCCAATAATATTTATGAGATTTGCAATTTAAGTGAGAACATTCTTCTTTTTTTATTTTTTGGAATTGAAAAGAGAAATAAAAGAGCTGATGTGCTACGGTTGTTAGATGCAAGGCATGCATTGGTAGCAGAGGAATTGTTGCAGCCGGTGGAAACGTTAAGTGAACGAAACCTAAATTGGTAGGATCAACACTTTTGGCGAGCATATAATATTCGTAGCCCATCCATAATGTCTAGATTCGATGCATTCAAGAGCTCGACTGCTTCTGCTCTGCACAATCAGTGTGTACCTGCACAAATTCCAACCCCCGTTCCCGGTCTAATTGAAAACCAATTAGAATCGCCCATACTTCAGCTTGGAGAGCTTGCACTATCCCAATAGCCTTCTGAAAATCTGAGAAGACCACCGATAGAACCAAAACCAATTGTCGACGAAAGTGCAGCATCCACATTCAAGCATAACCACCCTGGTTCCGATCCCGGCCAATGAACAGCTTGACGAGGGATAGATAAAGAGGTCGAAGGTCGAACATTCAACATAATATCGAACCCAAGTGATCCCTTTGTTCAGGATGCCAACTCAAGAAGGAACGTCGTCATTGAATACATAGTCATTTCTAGCTTTCCAAATAATTGAAACAAATAGAATAGGCCATGGAAATTCCATTCAGTAACAATAGCACGAGAATTTATACACTCTTGAATCTGATCCTGCAAAGGCAAAAGAAAAATTGATGAAAAGAGGGCAGGCGTTAGGTGCCAAACAGTCCGAGCTTCTTTGCAAACTCGTAAAATATGTATGGTGGATTCTTCAGTAGCATCACAGTAGGGAGAATGTCCTATAGAGCAACGGCACCGTTCCAGATTGGTCATCAATCGATTTCGATGGGCAACTCATAAAAATAGCCGCAGACGTTGGGGCACCTGAACTTTCCAAACAGTATTCAAGAAGCCATTTTTTGGATCCCATGAGGAGTTGGCTAAATGAGAGTAGGTCGATCTGATTTCGAAATTATGTTTAGGACTCCATCGCCGCATAATACAGTCATTTTCTAGAAGAGGGTAGGAGCATTTAATGCTCAAAATATGCACAATAGCATCAGCCGTAAAGAATCTGGAGAATTTACCATAATCCCAATCACTGTTGTCGTTAAGGAAGTCCGAGGAGGAACTTGAACGGAAAAAGGAGATCTGGACTGGCCAGATGATCTTGTAAAGGGTCTAGAGATGGCAATCAAATATCCTCCAAAGGATGAACAGAATTACCAGACCAAGCAATACCTGCACCGAAGTCATTCCACTACTCGGCAAGCGCCTGCCAAAGAGCAGGGCACTTTGGGCGAGAGATTGACTCGGGACAAAGGTCAACCGCTTTATATTTTTATCGCAAAAGACGAACCCATAAAGACCCAATATCCGTCAGCAATGAAAAGTCAATTTTGAGGATGAAAGCCACGTTAAAATCGTGAACACGCCTAAGACCAAAGCCTCCTTAGTTCAGAGGTTATTAACATAGAACTTCCCAGTTTATAAGGGACATTTTGGATGTCGATGAAGTGGAATCCATATAAATTTCTGGACAAGTTTCTAAACAAACCTTTTTAGAGAGCATCGTTGAATACATGAAATAAACAGGAATTGCCAAAAGAGTGGACTTCACTAGAGTGATCCGTCCTGCCATGGACAACGTGCGGGCAGGCGCAGCCCTACCACTAAAGCGAGCTCACATTTTGTCCAAGGTAAAATCATAGTCTATACATTTAGTTATCTTGTGTAAGATAGGAACTCCCAAGTATTTATCAAGACTATCCACACCTGAAAACCAAGGAAAGAACTTATATCGCACTGAAGCAGTAGATCCGTGTTAGGCAAGAAATAAATATTAGTTTTCCTTGCACTAACTAGATGGCGAGAGGAGTTGCCTAAAACTGTAATTGATATAAAAATAGTTATTTTATATAAATTTACTTGAAAATTAGATATTTTAGAAGTCATTTTATGGGTTAGCCATCATCGAATACAATCTGAAGGTTGACAGTGCTTTCTTGCTCACCGCATCAATGTTTATATTCAACGAGAAGGATAGTGGTTCGTGTTGATTGTTGACAATTCATCCTTTTCAATGCGAGAAAAAGATGGCTGACAATGGTGAGATAATACCCTTACATGGAGGATATTTTACGGAGAGTCCTAGTGTAGAGGGAAAACTTTTGATGAACTAGAGAGTAGTTAATCTCCTCTTCCTAAAACCGCAGTTATAGTGTAAATGTTGATGGTGATTTATGGAAGTTTGAATGGATCCCACAAATATTATTTATTAAGGATATACACCCCCTATATATTAAAGGGTCTTAGCTCTTCCTCGTCGAGGACAAACCATAAACATTTTTAATTCAGCTTATATTTGCTGATTATGGAGATGGAACGACCACAGGTTGTTTCATCAATGTTAGAGGTGTATTCAGTTCGATTTGGTTTTTTATAATAAAAGTTGAATCAAACTGCAATAAATGATTTTTTAAAATCAAAACCGAAACCAAATGGTATAAAAACCGAAATATGTGAAACCGAATTTTTTGATTCGGTTCGATTCAGTAATGCTATTTTTGATAAACCGAAAATGTTATTAGACATACTTTAATTGGGCTAAATATTAGGCCATTAGGGGTACGTGGATAACCGACTGGATATTAGTTTGAAGTTCAAACTTATTCATTCGGTTCAATATGGAAAATCTGAACCGAACTGTAAAAGGTAAATCCCAACCGAACCGTTTTACTCGATTCGTGTCGGTTTTTCGATTTTCTCGGTTTCATTGCTCAGTCCTACACAATGTAGCACATAGTATGAACAACTTATTCAGTAATTATTATGCTAAAACAATTTTTCCACTTTAAATACCATATAAATGAGACTTTCCGTGTCTATCAATTCACACACTAATAAATGCACCTCACATTTTCCCTATTATACCTTCATCAATGGACACAAACAAGTGGGTTCTTTTGAATATAATGCAAGTGGTTTTCCATTTTCAATTTGATGTACACAATTAATTTCTCAGCAAATATCTCGTAGGAGCTTTCATCTTTTGCCGGTTGTTATGCCAACCACCACATTGCTCACCTACAAGTCCCAAAATTTAATCAATCCCACCTTCACAAATCTTCAGAAAAACAAGTTGCATGTGAGGCTAAACATATGCAGTTAAAACCATATTTACCAATTTTCCACTCTCGTCAACAGACATGGGGTTCTCAACAACGACTGTTAGGCTCTGACAAATACGATAACCAATGGTTAGATTCAGTAAACAGTTGATTACTCAAAACCATAATCATTTCCTCATAGTAAACCATATAAATTTCAACAGCTTACTGGTGAAGTAGATGGCTTAGATCCTGAGGCAGCTGTCTCATTAGGTCTATTTACGGGAGGGGGCACCCTCACATTGCCCATCTGAAAATGAGGAATGGAGAGCAACGAACGGGTAAACCTCCCAATACAGTTTTCTATCTATAAACATACACATACACAGTATCTCACAAAGGTGTCCAAAAAATCTTGATTGGACGGGGAAATGCAGAGAATACGTATTTATCCTTCTGAAACATAGCAAAGACTAATTCTTCTGACATATTTATTCAACCAAGGGCAATCAATGTTATTAAACCAATTTATCAAAAAAAGGTTACTAAACCATTGATGTCTAATATATGGGCAATGTACGAAAAACCATGCCACAACATGAAAGGATGCACAGATCTTGATTATTTAAGAAGTAAATCAGTAAAATGGATGTCAAGAAGAAGGTTACCAACAATAACTGCTCTATCCATTCTTGAATCTGCTTAAGAGATGCAACACCACCTAAGCTAACCCAAATACCGTTTCAGAAAAGGGACCTAATCCTATTTCCACTAAACTTAACCAAATAAAAACACACATTTGGAATAGACCAAATACATATTAAAGAATATCAAGATTTTGAAAAGCCAAAACTCAGTTTCATGTGACTTAATAATAGATCAGAAAACAAGAAATAAGTTATGAAGATAAAGAATGACTACTATCAAGCAAATTATGAACTAATATGGCCCTCTTTTAGCCTCTTGTGAAATGAAAGTAAATCTTTAAATCTCTACGTAGTCTTAGATATATATTTATATGTAAATCTTTAAATCTCTACGTAGTCTTAGATATATATTTATATGTTAACGGCAGATGTGTTAAGGTGAAGTTGTGTAAATTCAACCATACTTACACCAACATTAGTAACATATTGACAGACGGCACATTTGACTGAAGGAGCTCCATGAGGATACATTAAGGTTGTATGGCAGTGCCCGCAATTGATGTGAGCAATCTGGTTGGATGCTATTTCATGGTCATGAGATCAAAGAAAGAAAAATAAAAGCTCAGTTAACAAAATAAGGATCATGAAGGTGAAAACAAAGAGAAAAATGAAGAAGCACAATATAAGATAAACAACCAATCGAGTTGCAAGACACCCTGGAAAAGCAATGGTCTGATATGAAAGAGGAAAAAAACAGAAAATACTCTGTGGTTTGTACTCACTCCCAAATTAGAATATTAGATCAGAATAGCCATCAAACACACGGTAGACAAATTTAGAAGCATAGTGAGATCTGTTTTTTTTTATAGGAATAGGATGCCTCATTAAAAACCTCCCTCATAGTAGTCCTCTGCCCTAAGGCTAGAACCAACTAGCGGAAGGAGGAAAAGAGTGCATCAATTTATTAATAATAAGCCAGTTACATAAGACTTAATAACAGTCTTGCAAACTACATAAAACTTTAAACACTTTCCTCTAAAACATACAAACCAACCAAAACAACGTTATTAATCACCCAATTCCTTCCTTTGCTAGCTTATCAGCCTCAGAGTTACACCTTCTAGGAATCCACCTAACAATAACCTGTTTAACTGAAACAGTAGAGACAATAACCTAACTAAAGTAGCTCAGGAAACTACTAGAGGAGGATGGCAATGAGTATGACAATAGAAACAAAGAATGTAAGGGTGACAAAAAAAAACATCCATGATGGATACATTGTAACACTTGAAAACCAAATATAGGACAAGGAAGCAATAATCAGAAAATGGAACAACATTCCCATAGAGAAAAATGAACAAGATTCCTTAAACTTGTTTACAGTGCAGAGAAAATTGTAGAAGAAAATATTCAAGCCACAAGCAAGCACAATATTTTCTTAAAAGCACAAAAAAAATCATTAAATTGTACCTGGTGCAATATTAATGGTGTGACAGCAAGAGCATCTTACACTTGTCGCTCCACGCGTATACATTAGCAATGTTCTACAACCTCCGCATATGAGTTGAGCCATTTCCATACCTGCACGATTATTTACAACAAACTTGGTTATCGAGCCATAAGAATTTCATTCAACTTATTTACAATCAAAATAAGAGGGATGTTGTTGGCCACTCCACGTTAATTTTTCTTCACTTAAACTCTCATATGTCTCTAGAACTTTGTAGATAACAGCACGGCCATAATTAGAATTACCAGATAGTTTCAAAGTATATATCAACAGAAGAAACTAACATGAAAAAAGAAAATGTTCATCTATATACAATAGAGTACCAACCAAGTTGCCAGGTTAACCTTGCAATTAATGTTCGTGATTTGTTTGGAGTGCTCCGATAATTTGAGCTCAGTAGTTAACTAGTTTATACAATCAAGTTCACATAAATAGGCAAGTATAAAAGCAAGGAACTCTACAGTAAAAAAAACTTTGTTAATGAACAATATATACAACAATCAGCCAAAAATTAACTTCAAAATCTCTAATATGAAAAGCAGTGGGTTCACACAAGCAAATTGTCATGAGTTTGATTTCACTGTTTTATATACATATATACACATAGTACTAAACATAGATAAGACCGATTACGACATAAAGGAGAAACCTACTAACTTTATGAACTAGATCTCGAGTTTCAATCGGAAACAATCATGTCTAATTTTTCCATGATACTGAAAACAAGCAACTGCCCGCAACTTCAAAAAACTAATGAATGGTTTTACATTGCAAAAAATAAGTACGAAAGATGAAGTGTACCAGTGGGAGTAATTGTATTGCATAATGCACAGCGAACACTAGTTGCCCTTCTAGGATAAAGAAGAATGCTCCTACAGCCGCTACAGACAAGTTGGCTCTGCATATCTGCAATCATTGAAGAGAGCCATAGCTCATAATAAAGATGATTTTTCCAAAATGCCGGTTGCAATTGATAATGTTGGTTTGGAGATTAAATAAGAAATAGATGGTAGTAAAATGTGATGCATTAACCGAAGCCAGTAAACCTCTCTTAAGCAACATGATCTACAGCAGTCAATATCCATAGCATTCCAAAATACTGAAATTACAAGTGGGAAAAAATCTAATAGTGATACAAATCTGACTCAAAGAAGGTGCAAGTTCAATTAACAACTAGCATACACGGCAACTTGATGAGAGTGCTATCTCTAAGTTTAATATTAGATATACTGAAATGTGAAATCATATGCGAAAACATTAACAATTAAAAACCACATGAATTTAAAATTTGAAATTCCAAAATTTGGGAAAGAATAATCATTAAAACAGAATATTACAACCAAATGCTAAGTCTTTTTTTCAAGCACATCTCCCTTTTTAATCAGATATTTGGAAACGTGTCAGCGGAATTGAGACTTCTCTTTCTAAAATCCCTTTCTTTTTTCTCAACTAGATCCTCAGCTAATAAAATGTTATAGCGAGATTGGGAAACGTCCAATATTATTTAAAATCAAATTTACAAAGAGAAAATGAAGAGTTTCAGGTAAAAACAATTTCAATTCTAAAATCCTAAAATTGACGAACGTAGATAAGATCAAATTAGAAAACCCCAAAGAATAAATTTGAATTGAAAAATTACCCAATTTCCCCTCCTTCACCAAGGAACCAGTTTCAATTTCTTTGATGAGATATCGAATAGTGTTCCTATCAAACAAATTCAAGGAAAAATAAGTTAATCGCGATTAAGAGGTATTTTCCTTTAAAAAAAATAAACAAGGAAGATAAATTTACCTTGAAGAAGGCGGAGAAATAGAATGCAAGAAAAAAAAAATAGCGCTGTTACAATGGAAACTTGATGCTGTGATATTTTGTAAATACTAGTAGATCCGCGTAAATCCTGTAACTAGGAATCATCCGTTTTAACCAGAAATCCGATTTTTTTTGTTTTTGTTTATTTTTTTATTATTAATATATGGTATTTATAAGTGATAGTCTCTGAGTTAAATACTCTCAGCTTAATAATAAAAGTTTAAATATCTTTACAGCAGTCTTAGTGTTCGAATTTAAATATGAGAAAATCGCCTCAGTGACCAAAAAAAAGTTATAATATACGATTTTAACCAACTTTTTTTGGATTTGCCAAAATGACCAACAAAATCGCAACGCGAAATAAAAATCGCAACGCGATCCCCAGAATCGCAAATCAGTTTCCAGAATCGCAACGCGATTCTTGAAAATCGCGATGCGATAGTACAAATTCGCATTGCGATTTTCCATAATCGCAACGCGAATATGAAAATCGCAACGCGAACACATAAATCGCAACGCGTATCCGTAAATCGCAACGTGTATCCGTAAATCGCAACGCGTATGGGTAAATCGCAATGCGTATCCGTATATCGCAACGCGTATCCGTAAATCGCAACGCGTATCCGTAAACCGCAACGTGTATCCGTAAATCGCAACGCGTATCCGTAAATCGCAATGCGTATCCGTAAATCGCAACGCGTATCCGTAAATCGCAACGATAATCCGTAAATCGCAACGCGTATCCGTAAATCGCAACGATAATCCGTAAATCGCAACGAGAATCTGTAAATCGCAACGATAATCCGTAAATCGCAACGAGAATCTGTAAATCACAACACTGAAATTTTGGGTATATAACACTGAAATCATAAACTAAATCCCTAAATCGCAACTCATTCCATCTCCATCTATCACTCTCTCCGGCGACATCCGTTCCTATATCCAACGACATCCTTCCCCATCCGGCAACAGGTCTTAGTTTCGCATCTCGTTTGTTTAGTTACAACCATGAAATCATCTAATGTTGATCATGTTTGGATAGATTTGTGTTTTGGAGGGTCATGGGATAATGTTAATGGTGTTTTACAATATATGCCTTTACCCATAAATCTTCAACTAAAATTGTCTTTACAAAAGTTAACTTATGAAACTCTAATGCTACGTGTTTCAAATAAATTGAATTTAGAGCCCCTAAGTGGATTTAGGCTATCTTATCAGAGAAATGGTAAAGTTTATTTGTTAACCGACAATGAAGATGTTGAACGATTCATTGCTTACATTAGTGTTTCACAAGATGATGTTACATTGTATGTTGTTGAACCTAGAAGTAGTATTGTTGGGTCAGTAGCGGGTAGTAATCAACTAAGTTTTTCTCAAAACCCACAACCTTTCTCTAATCCAAATCCCAATCAACTTTCAGCACCAAATTCCGGTTTTCGTATTGACCAGTTAGACGATGATGAGCCAACAGAAAAAATTGTGATTACTAGTCAGTATTCGAAATTTGGTCTTGGTCAATATCCGGACTTTGATATTGGTCAATACACGGATTTTGATGATGTTTCAGAAGAAGAAACAGACCATGCGTGTAATGATATTGATATTGGTCAATACCCGAATTTTGATGATGAAACAGCCGTTGCCGAAGAATGTAATGTTGATGATAATGAGGAGGAAGTTACGACTGTGAATGAACATGTTGAACATCCATTCTGTAATTCATATAATCCTGAAGAAGAAAAAGAAGAAGAAAAAGTCCCCGAAGAAAAGAAAATGCCACGGGCGTATAACTGGAATATGCCAGAATTACTTCAGATACCGGAAGAAGAGTTGATAAAGAAAGCAGTTGATTGTTACACAAAAGTTATTCGTATCAAGAAAGATGATTGTTTTGATACAAAGGAAGACTTGAAGATAGCTTTATATACGAAATGTGTGGAAGATGGCTATCAACTAAAAGTTAACAAATCAAGCAAAGATCGTTTCGAAACAAGGTGTATGATTGACAAAAACTGTACGTGGCGTATGATTGCAAAGAGAATAAAAGATTGCAAAATGTTTCAAGTTAGGACTTTTATTGATAAACATACATGTTCAAGAACCCAAGTTTTTCCTCACCATAGACAGGCAAACAAAAAGGTGTTGGGTGGTTTTCTGGCTGAGTTAATGTTTTTGAATGGCAGGGTATATCGGGGACATGAAATTATGACTGACATGAATGCTCGGTTCAAGATTAGTATATCATATTCTCAAGCTTGGAGAGCCAAATGTTATGCCTTGGAATTGTTGAGGGGGTCGCCAGAAGCATCGTTTGCCCAACTGCCGGCTTATTGTCACAATTTAAAGCTGAAAAATCCTGGGTCGGTAACTCATATCAAAACAGATAGAGATGGACGCTTTGAGTTGCTGTTTATCGCCATTGGTGCTACGGTTAGTAAATCAATATAATTTTGTTGACTCATTTTTGTTAGTTACATGCATTTCACATTTAAATGATTATATTTCTTGTGTATATTATTTTGTAGATTCGTTCGTTTATTACTTGCATGCGCCCAGTTATTATAGTTGACGGAGCACATTTGAAAGGTCGATACCTTGGAGTAAACTTATTAGCAGTAGCCATGGATGCTAACAATGGGATATTGCCAATAGCTTACGGGGTTGGCAAATCTGAAACCTCTGATTCATGGACATGGTTTATGGGGCATCTTAGGGATTGCATAGGTCCTATTAGCAATCTGACAATCATATCCGATAGGGCAAACTCAATTGACAACGCTGTTAGAAGGTGTTTCCCAGATGCTTTTCATGGACTTTGTGGTGTTCATTTGTATAGAAATCTAAAATCAAGGTCTGCTGGTATAAAAAAGCACAAATGGACATACTGGAAGGCTGTAAAAGCTTATCGGGAAGTGGATTTCAATAAGCATATAAATTGTTTAAGACGTGTTTTGCCTCAGTGTGCTCAAACACTAGAAGATGTCGGGTTTGAAAGATGGTCAAGAGTACATCAACTTGGAGCAAGATATGGTTTCATGACGTCTAATAGTGCAGAATCAATCAACGCTCTAAGTCGTCATTCCCGGAAATTACCCATTACTATGTTAATGGAGTTTTTTCGAGCCTCTATTCAACAGTGGTACTACAAGAAAAGAAACCATGCAGGTATTATTTCTTTGAATTCGTAACTTATCATATTTATATATTTTACTAAGTATTGTTTATTTAAATTTACAGGAACATTGGAACATCGTGTTACACCATGGACTGAAAAAAAGATAACGAAACGTGTTGTGAAGTCAACGTCATGGAGAGTTGAACCATGTTCAAACACTTTGTTTCAAGTACTGGATAATAACTTAAATGGGCTAGTCGATCTAAATGCAAAGACGTGTAGTTGTATGAAATGGCAAACATCTGGTTATCCGTGTGGCCATGTTATAAAAGTTGCTCTTCATTTAAACCAAGATGATTCAAGCGCATACGCTATGGATTGCTACACTACAGAAGTTTATCGACAGACTTATGCCGAGATTGTCTACCCTATTCCACATCCTTCTGAGTGGGACATACCAGATGACTTACAAACAGTTTTGCCACCAGCCATGGACAGAAGGCTACCTGGCCGACCAAAAAGTCACGATCGTATACCGTCTAAGGGTGAAGAGAAGAAGAGATCGACATGTAGTCGGTGCAAGGAAAGTGGTCATACAAGGTTGACATGTGGATCACCAGTGCCATCAAAATCATCTTTTCCTCTACCAAAATATGGATCCTCATCAAAATCCAAAGCTCATATGGTGTGAACTTTGTATTATGTAAACGTTGTTATTCAGTTGTATTATGTAAACGTTTTAACATTTAACATTTTATGTGTATTATGTAAACGTTGCCATCAAAAGCTCATATGCAAACGTTGTATTATGTGGATTTTATGTGTGAACTTTTAACATTTTCAGTTGAATTAATGACTCAGGCCAACCATTTTGACTTAACCAACTCTTGTTATTCAGTTGTTATCACTATTAGGCATGCATTTGACTATCGCAACACGGAAAATACAATCGCAACGCGAAATGAAAATCCCAACATGAAAATCGCAATGCGGAAATGAAAATCGCAACGAGAGAATCGCAATGCGAAATGAAAATCGCAATGCGAAATGAAAATCGCAACGAGAGAATCGCAATGCGAAATGAAAATCGCAATGCGAAATGAAAATCGCAACGAGAGAATCGCAATGCGAAATGAAAATCGCAATGCGAAATTAAAATCGCAATACGAAATGAAAATCGCAATGCGAAATGAAAATCGCAATGCGAAATGAAAATCGCAACGAAAGAATCGCAATGCGAAATGAAAATCGCAATGCGAAATGAAAATCGCAACGAGATAATCGCAATGCGAAATTATAAACGCATTGCGATTTTCATTTCCGCATTGCGATTTTCATTTCGCATTGCGATTCTCTCGTTGCGATTTTCATTTCGCATTGCGATTTTCATTTCGCATTGCGATAGTCATTTTTGCCTTCAACATAATGCAGATTGAAATCAACAAAATAAACCATTACATTTCAATCAATTAAACAAGCACAAATAAGAATTATGTTCGCATCAATTACACAAATCAACTTTTACAAATCATCTTTTACAAATCAATTAAACAATCAAAAATTGAATCAACTTTTACAAATCAATTAAACAATCAAAAAACAATCAATTAAACTATTGAATCAACTTTTGCAGCTCGACATCATTTTCACGCAGTTCACTTCTGAGATTAACCTGCAGAAACCAAACATTTGTTCAAACAACACTTTCTACGCAAATTATTGAATTCTAATTACTTAACCAAACATTTTCATTTATAAGTATATAAACTTACCAATTGTTTATGGACATTTTTATAACGCGGATGCAGGTAGGCAGCGTCTCGTATATATCGATTTAGCCATATAATGCCGAAACCACAAGCCTACTGCAGCTTTATCTCTATCGGTGGGAGGTAGATACTTGATGCTTCCCGTCGTCAAACGCTCCAACGCCAAGCATACGAGAGGACCACAATCTCCTCTGGCTCCGCTTGTTTGT